TGAGACGCAAGCACAACAGATAAAGACATCCGTTAAGCACGTTTACATTTAAAAAGTAGAGCAGTGGAATGGAAAAACACGTTCTGTGTGAATGACCCCTAGGTGGTAGAATGCATATAATGACGTCACAACTAAGAATCAACCACTTTTCTGTAGCTATACCAGTTTCGCTGTGGCTGAGCACGCTATTTCAGCAACGTAAAACAAATTAATAATAAAATGTCACCAAGCGCCATGACACAGTCCAACCCGATCTCACGGGAATTCGTACGAATTTTACGAGGTGGCTAATTCGTAACAATTTGTACGACCTCACTCGTACGAATTAGTACGATTTAGCTAAATCGTACATATTTTACGAATTAGCCAATTCGTATGAATTCGTACGAATGACCTACCCCTGACCCCGCCCCTAAACAGAACCGTCACGTGGGTTTAGACAAATCGTACACATTTGTACGAGTGAGGTCGTATGAATTAGTACGAATTAGCCACTTTTGAATCATTCGTACGAATTCGTACGAATTGGTTGGGAGATAGGGTAGCACAGTCCCTATTTACATCTTATATCATCAGTAAACTCTTGCTTTACCAAGGCAGCGACTGACGGATTTATACAATTGCATTCGAAAGAGCTGGGGCAGATCGACATGGAACAGTTAAAGCTACACTGTGTGATTTTTACCCCCATCTAGCGGTGAAAAGGTATATGACCATCCAGTGAATATTAGTTTCCGTTCCCCTCAATTCCGATTTCTTTTTAACTCCTACGGTGGCCAAAGTAGTCCAAGATTAACATGACTTCCAGTTCGACCTCGTCCATGAGTGTTAACTCAAACGTAAACGCGAAAGGCGAAGCTTGAATTAACGGGTATGTCCCTCTTTGGCTAATGTACTTTCAAGATGGAGGGGCAACATGGCGACCGACATTAGAACCCCTCACCCGTATGTATTTTCAATGGCATATCATACACTCACGAGAATACTTTATTACTTGAACAAAGTAAATATACATTAATGAGCACATATATTTTTGAAATAAAACTAATTGTTTTTAGCTAAGAATAAACTAAAAGAGTTACACGGTGTAGCTTTAAAGGATTAGTTAATGTACTCACCCTCAAGTTGTTTCAAACCTTTATGAATTTCTGAACACAAAAGAAGATATTTTGAAGAATGTCAGTAACCAAACAGTTGATGTACCCCATTGACTTCCATAGTATTTGTTCTCCTACTATGGAAGTCAATGGGGTATATCAACTGTCTGGTTACTGATATTCTTTAAAATATCTGAAGAAGAAAGAAACAACAGTTTGAAACAACTTGAGGGTGAGTACATGAAGTGAAGCAAAGTGAACCATTTTTCCTGACAGTGGAAAGGTGGCTTTAGAGCATCAAGTCTGTTCTAGTCTACTCAAAACAAACGAATTACACCCACAGAAGAATGTTTCTTTTAGGCAGTTGCACAATTTCACTTTTTGCAGTGCAGTGTTGCCATGTATGGTTGGTCAAAAGGCCAAATGAACAATTACCAGACTGTTTCTAGGTCAGCTGTGCTATACCTTTTTCAATCCAAGGTGATATGAGGGTGAACGGGAAAGGGTGCCATGGTATCCAATATCTGGGCAGAGGAGTTCAACAATTGCTGCCAGCTGTCCTTCTGCAGAAGCGCTGCCAATATCTATCTGTAGATAAATGAGTGGAGAAAAACAGCACAGGGCTTTTGGCTGTACAGAGCATGAAGGAAAACTACAAGCCCACACAAGACCACCACTCACCTTTGGGAACACACCATTCTCAGCTGCAATTGTGTAATGTCTCAATTTGCAGATGTTGAATTCAGAGGAAGCTAGAAATATGTAGTTCAACCAGTCTGCACACTTCAAACAAAAAAAAGCCAAAGTGGGAATGGCTGAACTTGAATTTTAAAGAGCAATATTCCCTCTTTTATCTCCCTCAAACACAGATGATTAAAGATTCAATACAGCAAGAAGACTAATGACTCCATAGGGTGTGAGGCAAACTTGGGAGAAAAGAAGAGAAGAGGCCTCTGGAGAATTCTTCAGCGCAGAGGAATACGCTTTAAAATATACAAATTTATTCATCTGAAAGGCTGCCGAGGCTCTGTGGCTTCAGGTAGCACGTGGAAGAGGGAGAGGAAGTGCAAGAGAGGGAGAACTAACAAGCTCTTCTCACACCTCTTGAGTCAATCATGCTTATAATGATTTGTTTCCTTGTATGACACACATTCTGAGGTAAATTGAATGATCGAAATGCACACAAATGACTCGGCACTGGTAAACAACTAGCGCAAAGGAAAATGACAACTACTTAAAGCTGAAGCTTGTATTTTTTTTTTCAATAATAAAATTCAGTTTATTTTGATGGTACCTTTAACACATTCTGATTGCACCTACCTGTAACTCTCATTAGAGTGTTGGTATAGTATTAGTAGACTGGTAGGGTTAGGGTTAGAATAAGTTGAAATTTAGTTGCAAAGTTACTAGTAGTCCAGAATGTCTGTTGGAGGACCATCACAATAAAGTTAACAGATATAAAGCGGGAAGGAGCCTGGTTTTGTTATGGTGCTTTCAACTATTTATCCGTCTCGGAGATCCGAATCGAAAGACAGACGTAACCTAGCAACACTTGGTAACACTTTATTTTACGACCCGCAAACAACTGTGTAAGTACACTGAAATTACGGTGTACGTTTCTGTAATTATAATGTACTTCCGTGTAGGTATAAGGGAACAATATGTTAAGTTTGGGGTAATAAAGGGGTAACAAGCAGATATACAAGCAAATTATTTAATTAGTTAAAAAATAACAGGTACCTATTCTGTTAATATATTCCAGGCAAAAATTGTACGTCTGTTGTTTACAAAACATATCACATTTCTGGCAAAATATGTTCTTGTGCAATGTTACATACTATTATAAAAATTAAATTTATTGGCATTTCTTACTAGATTACTTAATGTTAAGTCAAAATAATTTGTTTTTGCTATGATTTTAATTTAGACCTTACCATGTGGTAATTAGTACTTACCTTATCCCATTGAATTGCAATGACACTTAAATGTCAGGGCAAATATACTGTGTAATTAAAACATTTTTTTGTTTGTTTGTTGGTTTGTTTTTGATAACTGTACCTTTCTCTGTAATTATTACGGTGCAAATAGTGTTGTTTCGTATTGCAGCCCATTCTCACCCCCAAGGCGTCACCTAACTGACGCCTTGGGAAGCATTTTGACCATGCTTCAATATCTGACGCTTTAGGCGCCCTTTAGCGTCAGTTATCGCGTGTAACCCTACCCCCACCCCAGACCTAAACCTAACCGCGTCATCTAACTGAAGCTTTCCTTAAAACGTCAAATATTGAAGCATGGTCAAAGGTGACGCATTGGGGTGAGAATGCGTTGCGTATTGCTACATAGTAAGTAGCGTTTGTTACCCCGTTGTTCTGTGTAGTTACTGGGTAAGTGTAACTCCTGCGGGCTGTAAATTAAAGTGGTGCCCCTTTATTACCCAAAACTTAACATATTGTTCCCTTATACCTACACGGAAGTACACTATAATTACAGAAACGTACACCGTAATTTCAGTGTACTTACACAGTTGTTTGCGGGTCGTAAAATAAAGTGTTACCCAACACTTTCACCTTTCTTCGGATTTCTCCTCTCGGACGTCGGACAATCGTGAGGACACCGAGAAAGAATTCCGTTTCGAAATTCAAGATGGCTGCGCTCTGTGTGACTTAAATGAATTGTTTTCATTGTTTTTGAACCGCTCTGGTATTTTAAATGACGATTATAATCACTCGTATCACTGCGTTCCCTGTAGGTATAGGAATCGGTTGTTGTGAGCGCAATTACTAACGTTGCTAGCATTGCTAACAGAAGATTAACATGAAATAAAGTGAACATTTTCGAGTTCAAATGGCTGTGTTTTGAAAAGGTGTAGTCATAATATATTTTTTTAATGTAAGTACCTGGTAATCGGCCAGTGCTACCATTACAACAGCTTTCCGGGTGGCGTTCATTTTTTTCTCCAACTCAGACACGCAAAACATAATAGAACGCTTGAAGTCTAAATGTGACGTCATATCCGAGGTCCGAGTCGGTTCGTTGGCTATAATAGAACGCACCATTAGTCCGAAATAGCTGCCCGGAGGTGTTGCCAAGATGGCGGCCGAGTGGCATGACTTGCCTAAAAGGACTTTGTATGAAGTCAACGTCACCACCATTAAGCTCTTTTAGTCTTTAATTAAACAACATTTTCAACGCATTCTCATCCCAAGGCGTCATAAACGATGCTTTTGCCAAAGCGTAGACATCCAACGCACATGGCAACCTTTAGCATCAAATGAGACGCTTCGGTTATGGTAGGTTTAGGTATGGGGTAGGGTTAGGGTTAGACCACTAGGAGGCACCATCTGCCCGTCTCATTTGACGCTAAAGGGTGCCATGTGCGTTGGATGTCTACGCTTTGGCAAAAGCGTCATATATGACGCCTTGGGATGAGAACAGGCTCACATTTTCCCTGAAAGTTTGAGTTTGAATACTTTGCAACAAAACGATTAGGCTGTGATAGCAGACTAATGAGTGAAATGCTTTCCTGTTTCCAATGATGATGACGTTTAATGTCCCCGATAACCTCTGTAGCCACTTGTTAGCAATCACATTTTTTAAGACAATAACAAAAAAAATGTGTTAAAAATCACAATGGGCTATTACTGATGAACAGCATTCATAGGCTTAGAATAAAGCATGAAAATATCCTGAGCTTGTGTTAACTACAGACCTTATTTCAGGCATTTAATCAAGAACCCATCGACTTCAGAACGATGGGAGTGGAAGTGCTAAAATGACAACTCGTTTCCGGGGTTCGGCCTACAAAAATATGTCATCCCTGCAGCACTCTATCAATATAGTTGTCAAGGAGTCCCATCCACTCGCAGGGGAAAACATTTCTGATGGTAAAACAAAACTTGCTTCACCTTGAATTTGCTGTATCAGACAAAAATACATTGATGACTGACTGACATTATATTTAATGACAAAGACGTTGTACACTCATTGCAAAACAAGAGGAATCAAGCTTTCATCTTCGCTCCAAATCACTGTACAATCCTGAGGAAGGATGGATTTTTTTTTTTTGCCGGCCCTGCAGTTACTGCAGCACATTCCACAGATAAATGGTCCTTGTCCTCTCCCATGTGAGAGCCATTGGGTGACAGAGTGACAAATGGAGCTGGCTCTCCTGCCCAGTGAGCAGAGATTATTGTCACTCAGTGTAGGAGACGGGATTAATGACCTGGACCCAGTGGCAAAGGCTAATCATGGGAGATTAGGTGACGGAAATCCTGCAGGCATTCAAGGAACAGAAGGGGGCTCCATCAGCAGGTCTACAAGGATGTGGTATTACCTGTGGTAATGGGAGGGAGCAAAAGATCAAAATGACTCCCATACTTCATTTACAGTATTATCCTTTTCTGCTAACTTTAGTAAAAAATCTTCAGATAGCAGTGATTTTGCTTTATGCTGTTGATCACATGACCTGATTTCCACTGTGGTGTATAAAAGGGGACATTAATGTTTTTTTTTTATATCGTACAAGCTTAATGCAATCCATTGTGTGCACAAAAAGGGAGGGAGGGTGATATTGCCCCAAGCCACCAGAGAGTTTCACCATAAAGAGGGATTTGTACATGGACCATCTCTCATCCCTTGCCAACACCTTGGGAATAGCCCTTGTGAATGACCCAATTACTTGCCATTTGTTTTGCAGGGCACCAATGCTCTGAGCATGATAAAGAACTGCGCTGAAACTGCTATGTGGCTGTTTATATTGTATGTGGTGGAACTTAGTTTACTTTGTCATTCAGACCCACCTTGACCGTATTTGTGATGATAACTGTACTTTGAAAACAAAAGTGAATACAACAATGCTGCATTCATACAGCTAAATTTAGCAAACAAACATGCAAACATAGTTGGTTGTAATACCGCTATTGACTGCAAACCTTGACTTTGATCTGCATCTGTCCAATACAGCCAAAGCATGTAGCCAACCTTATAAATATCTGTTTTGTTTGGATGTATGTAACAATGAGAAAGACAAGATATGTCACTATTTCCCTTTCCACTATCTCCCTACAATGAGTAACCCCAGCCCGTTCTCATCCCAAGGCGTCGTATGCTGACGCTTTTGACAATGGGTATACATCCAACGCACATGGCACCCTTTATCGTCAATATGAGACGCAGATATAAATGGGCCAGAAGTAGGGTTGGGTATTGAGAATCGAGTATCGATTGGAACCGAGACTAACTTTTCTTTTTCCCGGAATCGTTCAAAAGTTAAAATTTCGATTCCTAGTTTCGATATTCACAGTCCGCCGAGCGGAAGAAGAAACCGCTGAACAACACCAACGAAGAAGCGTCTACCGGAAGTGTTGGCATAACCACGCGAGTCGAACATGAGTACCTTACGTCGGTGGTCCAAAGTGTGGCTTCACTTTTCTAAAAATAACAAAATCTCGGCAAAATGCAAAATTTGTTACAAAAGGAGTATTTTTACAGAAGGAGTATTTCCTTCAGAAAGGCCGTTGGTTAGCAAGGTTAGCTAAACTTTTTTGACCCTGCCTCTTAAAAGAATCGGAATCGTTAGGAACCGGAATCGAAACAAGGAATCGGAATCAGAATCGTTCAAATTCAAACGATACCCAACCCTAGCCAGAAGGCGCCTCCTAGTGGTCTAACCCTAACCCTACCCCAGACCTAAACCTACCCATAACTGAAGCGTGTTATATTGACGCTAAAGGGTGCCATGTGCGTTGGATGTATACGCATTGTCTATATGACGCCCTAGGATGAGAATGCTTTGGTAACCTATAATTTGGTAAATTATATTGCATCTACATACTGATATCGTTCCACCAACCGATCCTTTTTTTTGTACTGCGGTGGCATGCGGTGCTCGGATGCAGATTTTCTCCCAGCAGCAGCTGCTGTGACACCATCTTTGTATCTTAAGGTGCTGCCTAATCACCCTTGCAACTCTAACTACATCTCTCATGTTTTCAATCAGCAAGGCCCATAAATTATTGTCAGCAGTAATCACAGGCGTCCACTCAGGGCCCACTGAGGGGACCTTGCCTGTCTGCGTGCATCGATTCAGTCTTTTCTGGCACTAGACTAAAACATCTGAGGGGTCTGAGCGCTCGCCAAGCCAACGTACCACTGACAGCACGAGAGGAAGAGGTCTCTCAGAGGAGGTGGTGTTAATGAAAATGATTAACCTATCTGCACAGCGCTGGATGACAAAATCAGAGCTCATTACATCAAACCTGACAGGCTCGGCATGTGAAATTATTTAGACTGCGTGCTGTGCTGTTTGCGCCGTCCCCGTGCCCTGACTCATCGTCTTGATCTCTGATTTTAAGTCGCCACGGGTCGGTCCTTCACAAGCACGTTGCTGGAAACCTTCCTCTAATTCGTTGATGGTGAAAAGAAGAAAAAATAGAAATACATGCATCTCTCTTCTTGTTTCTAATAAACTCATCCGGCGGCTTTGGCAGGCAGCCCAAGCACTCACAGCACAGCCTGCCTTTTTCACCAGCGCACACTTTTCTTTCACTGTGAAAACTGCCAGCATGGGGTGGCACAGTCACTTCTGGCGAGGGGGTGCTGTCAGTCTCCATCAGTGAGAAGCAGCCTTCTATTTCAATTAACTCTCATCTGCCCTAGACAGTCACCATGACGGCCACATTAAGTGAAGGACTGGCGTTATGAAGCAGGTGGGTGGAGAAGGGAAGGGAATAGAGATAGAGTAGCAGACACTCAAATACCTGTCATCACAGAGTTCTACTGTAACGGAGAGACCGTCCGTGTGGATCGGTTGTGGTAAACACAGCGCAACACAATGCATATGCTAAATTCAGGCTAAGATGGAGGACAGGAGCAATGAGGCATGTAATCTCCTGGATGTAATGAAGAGGAATTTAGTGGATATTGAAAAAGAGCGTTTATAATGATGAAGCTGTCGAGCTGAATATCTTTTTCAGGCAGGAATGATTTAAAAATAATAATATATATATATAAAATGTAAATAAATTTAAAATTATGTACATTAAATAAAATATTTTATTCAATACATTTTTTTTTCAATGTGTTTTATTTAATAAAAATACTCTACTATTCAAAAGTTTGGAGTTGGTAAGATTTTTCAGGAAAAAAAATCTCAATTTAAAAAATTCATAGTTTAATTATTTTCATGGAAATATAAATTATGTTTCAGAATATAAAAAGTTTAAAGAAGTTGAAACAATATTAAATAGTTTCTACTGTCACTTTTGATAATGTATCCTTGCAGAATTAAATAATTTATAATAACAAATTATATGAGGCATATTTGCTTAATGGAAACTATAAATGGAAAAGAGTTCTTTTTTATTTATTTTTAGTTTTGACACACTTCTTTAAAGTCCTGCCAACATCCTGTTTTATCGGAATTTCGATACAATACAAATAATGATATCATTGCACTAGACACATACACATCCCTGTATTTAGATGTGCCAGTGTTGGGGGTAATGTTACTTGCGAGTAATGAAAGTTACTTAATCAGATTACAGATACTAGTAAAGTAATGTATTACTTTTAATTTTACAACAAAAAATCTGAGCTACTTTGTTGTCCCATTCATTGACTGACAGCTCTCCTGTCCCCATGTTGAGAGAAATCAGGAGTAAGCAAATCGTATTTCCTTCAGCCTAAGGCCTTTTCATTTCACTTTTGGTGTGAAAGGGCCTTTACGTTTGCCAAAAATATATTTAAAAAGTAATGAAAAAGTAACGTAACACATTGATTCCATAAAAAGCAACTAAGTAGTTCCTTTTTTAGGGAGTAATGCAATTTTTAAATGAAAATTAACTTTCCCCAACACTGTTCTTTGCCCTAGTTTATAATAAAGGTAAAGTCAGTGGACAGATGTTACTCTGAAATAAATAAAAATGATTACTTGAGGTGACTTCTGGAGAAATCTGGAGGTGTTCTTCAGGGGAGCGGTATGAGATCTTGGTAACAGGGGACAGTCTGAGGAGAGGAGGTGCTGCCCGTAGGTTGTTTATTTGAGCTCCTGAATCAGGGGGATTTGGTGTGCAACACCCTTGTTGGGCATGAAGCTCTCAGTGGGGAAGAGCCTGAGGTGGAGGCTGGTAAACATGGCTATCCCAGCAGACACCACAGGAGCTTGAACAGACACCTGACAATGACAGTGGAGAACAATGGTGTTATTGAGAGACTCTCAACAGACATAAAACATGATACAGCTAAAGTTTATATTTATTTATTTTACTACTTTAGGGGGTGTCCTATCATTGGAGGATAAAGAATTACAGATTTGCTCTATAAAATAAGGCAGGGGAAATATTAGTGGTGTGCAGTCATTGCCTGTTTACAGTATAGCCTATATCTGTTGTAATGATTGCAAAATTATTCAGTAACACTTCACTTGAAGGGGTGTGCATAAGCCTGACATGACACCTTCATAATCACGACATGACTCCAGTTGAAATGAGGTCCGGTTTCTACAGCCCCTACTTCACTGTCCCAAAGAAAACCGGTAGGTTACGGCCAACCCTGGACCTGCGCGTCCTGAACCGCTCCCTTCACAGGATGCCGTTCAAGATGCTCACAGCCAAATGCATTTTCAAATGTGTGCGTTTGCAGTGATCGACATGAAGGATGCCTCCACTCTCCCTCGACACGGACCGTTCCAACGGTTTGCTTTCGAGGGGCAGTCATAGCAGTATGCGATTCTCCCATTCGGGCTAGCCATGTCTCTTCATGAATGTTGTTGAGGCAGCCCTTGTGCCGCTTCGGCTACACGGGTTCGCATCTTGAACTCTTGAAATTTTGACGACGGGCCGATTCTCGCTCACTCTCGAGAAAAGGTTTGCGAACACAGGGACCTAGTGCTCCGGCACCTAGCTCGACTGGGCATCCGGGTCAACTGGGAGAAGAGCAAACTTTGCCCCGTGCAGGGGATCTCTTTTCTTGGTATGGATATCGACTTGGTCGCCATGTGCACGCAGCTTATGAGCGAGCGCGCACAGTCACTGCTGACTTGCCTGAGACAGTTCGAGGGCAAGAGTGAGGTTCCACTGAAACTTTTTTCAAATGTTCCTGGGGTATATGGCATCTACAGCCGTGGCAACGGCGCTCGGATTGTTTCATATGAGACCGCTTCAGCACTGGCTTCACGATTGAGTCCCGAGGTGGGCATGGCAACAAGGCACGCTCCAAGTACCAGTTACTCCGACCTGCTGTCAGACCTTCACCTCATGGATGAACCTCAGCTTTCTACGGGCAGGAGTGACCTTAGAACGAGTTTCCAGGCAAGTTGTTGTCTCAACAGATGCCTCCACCATGTGCCATGTGCAATAGACATGCTGCTGCAGGCTCCTGAACAGAACCCCAGTGCCTATGGCATGTCAGTTGCCTTGAGTTGCTGGCAGGACGTCTTGCTCTGCACCGTTTCTTTGAGTTGCTCAAGAACCAGCACGTACTAGTCCGACCAGACAATACCGCGACAGCAGCGTACAACCAACAAGGTGGTCTACACTCCCGCCATCTCCTCTTATGGAGTCAGAAGCATCTGAGGTCGCTTAGAGCCATTTATATCCCGGGAGACCTGAACTGTTTAGCCTCTCTGAGCATGTCTTTCCCTTGGCAAGCCACCTTGCCACCCCTGGGGTTGAAATATTCCACCTGCGGCTGGACACCCATGTTTATCCATATGTATCCCTCCGGGTCATATGTGTATTCATACCCCCTTCTCCGACTTGAGATATGCTCCCTAGTGTACCTTGGTATTCCTGTGCTAAAAAGGAGTCCTTGGTCCGTGTTAGTCTCACGACAGGGATCTCAGATTTACACAAGGAACTGGAAGACAGCTGTGAAGGTGGCGTGGTTAGACTGGTAACCCCATTCGTCGTCATCCGACGTAACTCAAAGTGACAACGAAAGGGAACGTATCGGTGTTCTCCTTTTATACCCACAAGGTGGAGCGGAGATGCGCCATGCAAATCCCACAGACCCATTTTGGCTCAAGACTCGAAGTTGATAGGCTTTCTAAGTGAAACCCCATTCGTCGTCATCCGACGTAACTACTTACTCGGGGAACGGGGGTTACATACGTAACCAAAACATTTTCTGCCTAGGGGTAACTATGAGTGAACGTCACTTCATACTTGTGAATTAGACATTGCCACCTTGTGGAATAAAGGTGAATTGCACTTATTCAGTCATCAGAGATTTAATTATTATTGTGCAGAAAAAAATCTTCAGTGACTCTTTAGCGACTCTATACAAACAATGTTTTGTTATTTGTTTTTACAAAAAAATGAATGGAAAACAGGCATTCTTTGATATTTTTTTCTTGTTATATTGATTATAATACACTGATTGAGGAATACTAAGATGGTTGATGACTAACTTTAAAAAAATGAATGAGGAGGAGGGTAGTGAACGGGGTAAACTAAAGACCGAAGTTATGCATTTAAGGGTTAAAAATGTTTTGTTAGTTCTGAAAATGTAATGTGCAGCAGGTCTATATTTTATGATTTCTTTCTTTTTTTGATGTATGTAAACCTGTTGTAGGAGAGCTCGAAAGCAAAATTAGGAACCTTAAAAGTAGCACAATATAGCCTCTTTAAAACATTTACACAGACATTTTCCACAAAAGGTGGAAAGATATAGAATCTTTATTGTTACTCTCGAAAAGTTAGATCCACACAATAAGAAGGAGATGCAATATGCCATCTGAATTGAATTTTGCACATTTTAAATCATGATGTCCACACTTACATCATATTGGCTTCAGAGACTCAAAATTGCCTTTTTAGAGACAATATTTAAAAAAAGATTGTTTTGTCCTTGTTGGATAATCGGTCATATGTATATGTGCCAAACTATATAACACCCCTGGAGGGAAAAATTATTTTTTTTAGGATAAACTGAACAAAAGTACCATAACATTGTAATCCAATGCAAACTTTAAACGTCTAAACAGTCAGATCTCGCCGAGCACTCTGCGCAGAATCAAAGTATACTAAAGAAAAGAAAGAAAGAATCTGTTCCAGTATGTTCCCTGACAACCTTTCTCCAACAGAACATGAGATCTTCCACTGTAACGAATTCCTTGTGGTTGGCTGCGCTACAGAAGACCATTGTACCAGCACTGTGGCCAAAGATCGACTATCTGCCACCTGTAAAACCCATATTGAAGCAACATGTGGTCAAAAACTCAACTTTTCATTTCACGCCATGGTTGCCTGAAGGGATGATAAACATTACACAAAAAGCAGTATTCCCTTTGTGATTTAAGGCTCTTTCCTCAGTTCCTCAGTGTGATTATTCCCTGAAAACAGCCTTTGTGCTTGATTCCCACACATCATATAAATAATATATCTGTGCTTACTTTAGGTGACACATATGAACATACCGCTAATGTGAACTTTCAGAGAAAACAAAAAGGAAGGTCATAGAGCAACACAAAACGGCAATTTAGCTACTATTATGGGTTCTGAGGCCAGCCTCAGTGGATTACATCATTCCATTGCTGTTATGAGCAAGACACATATGATCACCGTTAATTTCCAAAGGATGTGTGTCCGAGCCAAAACACAGTCTCGTTCCATATGCATCCTGTTGGATCCATGTGTCCTTCGTATCATCTCATTCACTTTGTTCCCCAGCCACTGAACGTCGATATAGCATTCAAGGTTCAATCCATTCACTAGTACTGTAGCTGTTAGCAGAGAGATGGTTCTCATATCCTGCTTGGACTCTGTTGAAGGAGCGAAAGGGACAGTGGGATTATTTAGCATGGGTGAATTTAGAATGGTGAACAATGGCAAGTCTTTTGGCTTGTAATGAAAGAGAAATCATGACGAGAATCCACTTGAAATTAAAGGAATATTACGGGTGCAGTACAATCAGCATAAATGTTGATTAACACAAATTTATTAAATTTAATGTATATCCATGTTACAGTGAATGAAGCACTTACAATCAAAGTAAGTGGGGACAATATGCACACATTAAAATACTCATTTTAAATAGTTTAGCCACAAGATGTAAAAGATATGCTTGTTAAGGTGAACATTTTATGTAGAGTTGTGTAAATATAGAATTTTACCGTGTCACCACCATGACATTATCACACATTATTACACACACTGTAACAATGAAATAAAATAAAATATATAAATTAGATGAAAAACTTAAACTTAAAAAAGTTAACTTATTCTATTTCAGTTAGTTTCCAATGGTAAATGTAAACTTGTTTAATTACTTAAACTAAAAATAAAAGGGTAACACTTTACAATAAGGTTCATTTATTAAAAATTAGTTAATGTATTAACTAACATGAACTAACCATGAGCAATACATTTGTTACTGTTTTTGTTAATCTTTGTTAACGTTAGTTAATACAAATCCAGCTGTTCATTGTTTGTTCATGTTAGTTCACAGTGCATTAACTAATGTTAACAAGATTTTAATAAAGTATTAGTAAATGTTGAAATTAACATTAACAAAAATTAACAAATGCTATATAAGTATTTTTCATTCTTAGTTAATGTTAACTAATGTAGTTAACTAATGAACCTTATTGTAAAGTGTTACCAATAAAAGAATCTATATAGAAATATCTATAATTTTAAACTAATAAAAATGACAAAATTGCTTAAACTAAAATTAAAATGATAACTGAAGATAAAAGCTAAATAACACTGAGCACGTCAGGGATAATTGATTTATTCATTTATTCCTCTTCCAAACCCAAAAATAAGTAACCTGGGTTGCCATAAAATTGTAAGTTGATTGAACTGGAAAAAGAGAGTTAATACAATGAAGTAGATTAATTTAACCATCAGAAGCTCCAAATAATAAGTTATCTCTACTAAATAAATTATTATAAAGTTGATTTGACAAAAGAAAATATGTTGTGATAACAAATCTTGAAAATATGTTTTTACAGTGTGGGTAAATGTGGCTTTTTTGAGGTAAAAAAGTGGAGGAGGACAAGAAAGGACACAAATAAAGAGAGAATCCCAATCAGAAACACGATGAAAGGCAGAAAAGAGGACGCACCAGAGGACAGCGGGGCAGACGTGGTAGAGGGCATCAGTCTCCTTTACGGCGCGATCACATTTCGGCATACACAGGATGAGCAGCCCTTCAGGTGAGCGCGGTTGTCAACAGAGACAAACTGCAGCTCTTGGGACTGCCCCAGATCTGACAAATTATCCCCCTACATCAGTCACCTCATTTGATTCTACGAAGCAGCCTTGCGCCCCGCTCAGGGTCACACCGAGCAGCAACCACAAGCTGTTCATCTCCAGGTGTCCATTAATGATGTTCTCCTTGATGCCACTCTCAAGCACTATATACAGTGAAGTGTAATGCCTCACTCTGCTAATTACGAGCGAGAGGACAGCAAGTGTGAAATTCACTAATGCTCCGCTAAATGTCAAACAGCAAACTGCTGACTCTTTATTTATTGTCGAGGCGTCTCGTTTCGCTCGAGAACTGGTGTTGGCTTAATGCAAATGCTGGGGGAAAGAAAGTACGTGTAGGAGCGTCTTTGAAGTCCAGGGCTGTAGGGATAGTTGACAAGGACAGGAAGATGGAGGCGGTGTGAGGGGGAAACTGCTGAAAAGCTCCACCCCTATTAGCATATCAGACTCATTAGCGTCCCACAGGCAAAGACCCCTGGGAGAAAATGAAGCCATCTTACTGTGAAATCTTATCCTCCCAATCTAAGCGCACTCTCCATATCCTTCCCTTCAGCTGCACAAAGTAGGGCGACCTGTAGCACGCTTCAGAGCAAAGCTCCCTGCGTTTTGCATGAGTAACTGCCCCCCTCTCCATTAAGCTGTTAAGCCACACAGTCAATTATCCTGGCTCAGGGAGGCAGCGGTTCATCCAGAGCCGGAGAAAACGATATGCTTTGGTGGACGGGCAATGAGAGGGGAGGGTGCCGTGAAACTGCATGTGTACTCGGGCCAAGTGATTTCTCACGAGGAGAAGGTAAGGCAATTAGATGCTTCATTGCCTCTGGTGTTACATAAAATCTAAGGAGGACAAAAATGAAAGGCCATAATAGGGACATTTTGAACTATTATCACTTGGCTGTCAGATTTAGTGCCATGGCAAAGGAGCACAGTACATAGGTCTGCACTTAAACACCTGCGTTTTGCCACTTGCTAAGTAAGACATTAAGGGAATAGTGCTCCCAAAATGACCCTCACGTCATTCCAAAATTTCAGTTATTCCGTGGAAAACAAAATAACGTTCCTCATTTCCAAGCAAAAATAATCAAAAATGCACCAAAAATATTCCATGCAACCTTTATGTTATTAAAGGTTAACAAAATTGTTGAGAATTCTATTGCAAAAAATTTTGTTAACTGAAATATTTTTAAAGGGGTGGTTGATTGCGATTTCACTTTTTTCATTTTAAATAGTGTGTAATGTTGCTGTTGGTGCATGAATAGTATCTGCAAAGTTGCAGCGCTGAGAGTTCGATGGAAGCAGAGATATCGTCTTTTAAAGGAGTAGTTCACCCATGTCATCCAAGATGTCCATGTCTTTCTTTCTTCAGTCGAAAAGAAATTAAATTTTTGATGAAAACATTCCAGGATTTTTCTCCATATAATGGACTTCAATGGGAACCAAACGGTTCAAGGTCCAAAAGACAGTTTCAGTGCAAACTGTTCAAAGGGCTTTAAACGATTCCAGACGATGAATAAGGGTCTTATCAAGCGAAACGATCACTCATTTAAAAAAAAAAAGTTTACGTTTTATAAGCTCAAATGGTCGCTTTGCTCTGTTCTGTGATGCGCGTTCGTGGCTCTCCTGTTCGAACTTGTTTATCAATATGAACTAATGTTTTTTCTTGTCATTTGGTTCATTCAACGAATGAAATGAACGAGTTGACTCAGGAAAAGATTTGTTCATTTTGATGAACGAGTTCGAATAGGAGAGTCACGAACGGAGCAGAAGAGAGCAAGGCGACCATTTGAGCTTACAAAACGTAAAAATTTTTTTGCTTGATAAGACCCTATTCATCGTCTAAAATAGTTTTTTGAACAGTTTGCAGTTTGCACCGAAACGGTCTTTTGGACCTTGAACCGTTTGGTAACCGAAAAATCCTGGAATGTTTTCATCAAAAAATAATAATAATAATAATAATATTTTCGACTGAAGAAAGAAAGACATGGATATCCTGGATGACATGGGGGCGAGTAAATTATCAGCAAAAGTTTTTTTTTAAAAGTGAACTACTCCTTTAATTAAAACTTCAAAACAATAACAATCCTACAACAAATGAGATACAGTACATTCCAAGTCATCAGAAGCTATACAATACTTTTGAAAGAGAAACTATACTTTTGTTTAATATGTAACACTCACTTTGTGTGGCATAGAAAAAAAATCTACAAAGCTCCTATTCAACCCTTGCTCTGTTAAACAACCTGTGATGCACATCTGGACAAGAAGAGGTTTTTATGATTATTTAACAACAGGCGGAAGCTGTCCATCTTGGTGGAGACGACTCAGAGCACAAACCACAAATGGCCTTTATTTTCATGTGGCGACTGTGAAAAACGGTACTCACATCTGAAACATTTCCATTTTCCCTTTCTACTGCAGACATCTATGCCACTCAAAGCCGCCGTTTCCCTGGGCTATGACCAGCAACTACTGGTCCCATTCTTACAAAACACTACTTCTGCACCCCATATTATTAGCATATGCCATCCACATGGCTGGCAGGGAACAAAAACTGCACTGTAGTCGACTCATGCTTTTGTTTGAAGCTGCTTCAAAAAGAATGAGTGTGGATTTAGAGTACAATGTGGAAGCAACCCATTTAACAAGCTTCCCCTCGAGAAAAGAATAGAAGGGGAAAACGTCGTAGCCCGAAAATCTCCTAACCCATGTGCGCAGAAGAGGCCTTCAGAGTAAATATATTTACTAGAGTGCGCCGGCTCATGATTATGCAAATGTGTGTGCTTTGGAAGTGCGGGGTAGCAAGTAGCAACACCATGTGAAAAGAAAGTTATTTTCCAATTCTCAAATAAAAATACCCCACTTAGCCTAATGCAAAAAGTGGTTGTGGGTTCCTAAAAGGCATGTTTTCCCAGGATGTCACAGATAGCCTAGCGCATATATATTCAGCCTGCAGCAGAACTGTAGATAAATCAAAACAGATTTGAGAGATTAAACGTGAACCTAAAGAAGAAGACAAAAATATCGTAATCATGAGTGAAAGAAAGAGCCATTAAATGGTAACCTTTTGAGCACATAACTACAATGCTGATGTATAATAATGAGAGCGGCTAAAGGTGGGCGTTTAAATGAGTGAGCGCTATCTAAATCAATAGGGTCTCATCTTAATCAATATCTTCAGAAGCAGAAACGCTGTGAACATGAGATCACAGACACAAACGGTTGCATCCGTGAGTGGAGAGAAGCCGCTTGAAGTCAAGATCTGGACATGACCCCGCCGAGGTCCGTACACTGGGGGCTTATGTCACATGTGTTAATGTCAGCTTAGCTTACGATAAGATCATCTTAGGCTACAAGCTCCTCGGTAGAGCTAGAACTACATGTGACTTGCAGCTTCACGCCAAGCAAAGGGCAGCCATGCACATGTTTCGAGAGTTGAATACATTTGCACCTTGAGCAGACTGAGACAGAAATATAAGTGAATTGGAAGGAGATTTGTTACGGTTAGCAAATTTTGAGCAAAGATCATAAACGCTTATGCTACAGGATG